TATTATTTATTTTAACAGTATTTTCAAAACAGACAGTAAAACAGCTTGTCCTGCTAGATATTTTGGTTAAAGCAGAGTTGACATCAGTTAAGGCAGGATTTATGTTTGAACCCTTTCTGATTGTCAAATATTGGTGGAAGCATTCATAGAGGATGAGATGAACACTTTAGCAGCTCTTCATTATTATTTCCACTTGCTTACGTTTTTCCCGGTCTGTAAATAATGCAAGCATGTCATATCTCCAAGCCTTAAAGTCCTTCTGGGTGTGCTGAATGTCCTGAAGTGAATGATGAAGTTTGCTATGGTTCTCGTCTGACAGTTCTCAGTTCCTCCAACATCTGTCCTCAAACAAGCCCATCAGATCCACGGGCCTCCATTACGGCTCCGCAACCCTGAAGACCGAACATCAAACACTCCCGGAGCCCGCAGGAGCCGCACATCATCATATTTTAATACAACATGTGGCTTCTGAGCTGTTGTCTGCTGTCCAAATTGCAATAGTGAATTCTGTGCAGCTGTCGCTCTACAAATGAGGCTCAATTACGGCTCTCATTCCTGCGCTGCCAGAATAATCCGCTCTATAATTGCTGAACAAAGTGAGACAGAGTCGTCGGAGTCGGCTTCGGTCAAGCGTCTGTGTGTGACGGGTCACTTCATACACACTGACACACACTCTTACTGACGGGCCACTTTATGCACACTCTGTTCTGACGGGTCACTTCATACACACTGACACACACTGTTTTTCTGTAAACCTTCTCACTCTCTCCATTAAACAGAAATTATATATTTATATTAATGTTTAAAGTGAATAAAAAAGCTTTTAAAAACAGTCCTAACCCGTGTGTGCTGTTGGGTTGTTTTCCTCCACTCTGGGCTGATGTTGAGTCTTCGTTTGGCCTCTTCTTTCTCTGTGTGTCAGTAAATGTGATGATTTCTGCTCATGAATCTTATTTTGACACATATTTGGGGTAAATGTTTTGGAAGTTTTCAAAAACCCATTACGCTCTGTTCAGATGAACTCTCCTTTGGTTCTGTTGATGCTGTTTCTGCTCCATTCACTTCCATTATAAGCACATTTATTGACTGTAAATCCATGACAGCAGATCATCCTGCAGTACTGACTGCTGCTGCTTCCCCCTGGTGTTATAGATAGATGGATAGATAGATAGATAGATAGATAGATAGATAGATAGATAGATAGATAGATAGATAGATAGATAGATAGATAGATAGATAGATAGATAGATAGATAGATAGATAGATAGATAGATAGATAGATAGATAGATAGATAGATAGATAGATAGATAGATAGATGGATGGACAGACGAATATACAGATAGATAGATAGATAGATAGATAGATGATAGATATATAGATAGATAGATAGATAGATAGATAGATAGATAGATAGATAGATAGATAGATAGATAGATAGATAGATAGATAGATAGATAGATAGATAGATAGATAGATAGATGGACGGACGAGCAGATAGATAGATAGATAGATAGATAGATAGATAGATAGATAGATAGATAGATAGATAGATAGATAGATAGATAGATAGATAGATAGATAGATAGATAGATAGATAGATAGATAGATAGATAGATAGATAGATAGATAGATAGATAGATAGATAGATGGACGGATGAGCAGACAGATAGATAGATAGATAGATAGATGATAGATAGATAGATAGATAGATAGATGAATAGACTGATGGGCGGATGGATAGACAGATAGATTAATGGACGGATGGATGGAAAGATAGATGGATGGATGGACAGATGGATAGACTGATAGACGGATGGATTGATGGATGAATGGATGAATGGATAGACTGATAGATGAATAGATGAATAGATGGATAGACTGATGGACGAATGGACAGATGGATAGACAGAGGGATGGATTGATGGATGGATGAATGGATAGATGGACGGATGAATGGACGGACGGATGGACAGATAGAGGGATGGATGGATGGATAGTTTATTGTAATTATAAGTACACAATCAGCACATATTCCTGTATACTGTATATTGTATAGACCCCAGGCTATATTGTGTTGTACAGTAATGTCTACAGTCAGGGTGAAACGGGATTTAGCTGTTGAATTCTGATGCATCCAATCACATCAGCTAATGAAACCTGAACTTTCAGAAAGCAGTTTTCTTCTCCTCCACCTATTAAAAGTGAATGAAGCTGAGTGTGTGTGTGTGTGTGTGTGTGTGTGTGGTTGTGGGCCTCGCAAGCGCTCAGGGCCCCTGCGGGAGCGTTTTGGCTCCGGCGTCACACACTTCATCAGATCGAGCTCGTCCGCAGAGTAAATGAAGTTTGGTGATGGCTCGAACACACACATTTGGCAAAAACACACTTTTGTATCTTTGTCTTGTTTCCCAGTCAAAAACTCTGCTGCCAAATCAAACAAACTAGTGCAAAACAAGCCCGATATCAGCAGTGTGATATTAATAATCACTAATGTCATTATGCACAATAATCAGTTATGTATTATCAATAATTATACATGCTGCATCAAAAAAATACCCAGTTTGAGTGACAAGAACAGAAAAACTCAACATTTATAAACAAATACCTCACATGTACACTCACTGGCCACTTTAATAGGTACACCTGTCCAACTGTTTATTAACGCAAATTTCTAATCGGCCAATCACATGGCAGCAGCTCACTGCATTTCGGCATGTAGACATGGTCAAGAGGATCTGCTGCAGTTCAGAGCGAGCATCAGAATGGGGAAGAAAGGGGATTTAGGTGACTTTGACCGTGGCATGGTTGTTGCTGCCAGGCTGGAGTATTTCAGAAACTGCTGATCTACTGGGATTTTCACGCACAACCATCTCTAGGCTTTACAGAGAATCTGTATAAAAGAAAATATCCAGTGAGCGGCAGTTCTGTGGGCGCAAATGCCTTGTTGATGAGGCCAGAGGTCAGAGGAGAATGGCCAGACTGGTTCCAGCTGATAGAAAGGCAACAGTAACTCAAATAAGCACTCGCTACAACCGAGCTCTGCAGAAGAGCATCTCTGAACACACAACACGGCCAACCTTGAGGCGGATGGGCTACAGCAGCAGAAGAGCACACCGGGTGCCGCTCCTGTCAGCTAAGA